TGAAACAGTGTGTAACAGGCTGCCGCCTAGCCGTAAACCCGGGTAATAATAATCCTTAATACAGCCAGACGGTGCACTGTTAACTGTGTGCTTCTAGCACACTTGCTCACCTTGTCCCGGTGTGCGCCTGCGCCGAGTTCTCTTACCGATCTAACCTGGGTTCGCGATCTCTCCGCAAGGGGCGCTGCTGCGCTAGCTCACCAGCGCTCCGTCGGCCACTGCTGACAACTCGGTTGGCGGGCAGCTTCTCCTGTTGCTTTCGTGATTCGTGCTGTACCACCGGCGCGTTCGAATCAAACGTAAACAATAACACCGATTTCGAACAAAGGGAAGACGAAATAACCAGAGTGTTTCGTATTGATCTCTAACCAATTTATTTACTCAAAACGTATATAAGGGAGGGATTTGCCGAGAGACTTTCGCACGCTATTCCGACACAGTAATTCAAACGGGGTGAGAGAGAGTATATCTCGCAGACGTCGCGGACTACTCGCACGCTCGCTGACTATAAATCCACCGCGCACGCTGCGCGGGATCGCACGCTAGACGCGATTAAAAAATGCTGTGCACCTACCGCTAAATCTACGAGGATACGGTGGCCAACCGTATCCGATTAAATTAACCGACGAAGAACTACCTCTGCGACTGCTGCTCCGCTGACGTTGTTGCGTCGCCGCTGAAGCTGTCGAAGTTGAGCTCGCTGCTGCCGAGGTCGCACACGTTCAGCAATGTGCGCACTCGGCACTCCACTCGCAGCTGCTATTACCGGTGTCGGAGCCACACACGTTGTGCAGTGTGTGCACTCGTTCCACCGTACCGATTGTTGTTGACAGTTGTTGATGCACACGTTGCGCAGTGTGCACACCCCTCCTCCACACTCACTAACAATGTACACAACTCCCTGGATCTCACTCAGAAACAATAGAACACGTCGTTGCCTCTGACTCGTTAACTACGATGTAACCGGACTGAAGGACAGTCATACTGGCTAGCTAACTCTCCCCTCCCGGTCATTGCCCCTAACGCGCCCTCTCTCTCTCTCTAACTCAAACCGATCGCGGCTGTTACGCTCAGCCACGCTTAGTAGCCCACGCGAGTCCAAACGATTTTCGGCAATCGTTGCAAGTGCTACCATGTTATATGATCATTAAATTAAATATTAGGGATACTAGGGTGTCGAAGGTCTACTATAGTAGACCGTAAGGGAGTGTCTCCACGGGGCCGTCCCGCAGGCTGTGCCGCTGGACCGTGCCGTACAAGAATTTTTATGCGTACACCATCTTTACATTTTCGTGTTCAGTGGCGAGTTTCATAGTGACTGCAAGAAACGCATCTATGAAGTGGCTGTATCCGTGGTTTGAAGTTTTCTGTCCATCGGCTCCAATTTTCTCCAATTTTATTCACGGCATTATTATTAATTACGAACTCACCGAATTGCACGTATTCCTAATAATCAAAAATATTAATCACAAGTATCACAATTTTTTTTCGTCGATGGACAGAAAACTTCAAACCACGGATACGGCAAGGTGTGTTTACTATGCTAGGAGCTAGGGCCACTAGGGGCTTCGGGACGAACGGAGCTCCGTCCTAGGATGGCATAGGATAACAGCGCCAATGTCAGAGGTATCATAACCGTTCTATAAAGGCTCATAAAATAGCATAGGATGACTGTCAGCCGCGGTCTGGATTCATAACTATGTTATCGCCTATGGATAAAAATAAATATTTAGAGTAAACTATATAAATCTACGCAAAACTTAAAAAAAATTGAGAACTTTGATACGATTAAAAGTTTGTGCGATAATAATTGTGGTCACCATTGTTTTCGTGTTTTTAAATTGTTTTCGCGCCAGGGTCGTCTCGATCCGTAATTAATGTGAAAGGAAGCCCCTCGTTCCGGCCTCCGTAATTAATTAAACATTAAAAAAAACTCAAATCGATGGCTTTTCATTAAAGTTTTGCGATAGACAAGAAAAATGGGAGGCCTTATACAAATATAAACTTTTATAATTTTGAAAAAAGTGTGAGTACTGGAAAAGCATACGTCTGGAAAAAGCTATTACGGGCTTGGAAATCATATGTAATAAATAATCATGTATGAAGTTTCCAGGTCAGAATATTTACGTGCTGGAAAATTGTATACCATATACATACTCATTAAAATGAAATTGATTATGATATATGGTATATACAAATGTTATTTCAAACATAAAAAAGCTTATCAGACAGTTTCAAAGAAATGTCCCGGAACTGTGCGTTAAACATATATACAGGGTGGCCCATTTTAAGTGATCCACTCAGATATCTAGATTGGAGTGAGTTTTATCGAAAAAAGTTTCAGACAAAAGTTACTCAACTTTGAGGGGGCCATGTTTCTATGACCTTGGATTTGACCTTGGAGGTCATGTTCAAGGTCATTTCAAGGTCAACTTTGTTTTTTTAAATAGGAACCCCCATTTTTGACCCCGGATTCGGAAAGAGCGGGAAATTTTACGTCCAAAACGGTATTTTTAAATTTTTTTTCATGGCCTTGAGAAGGTCGATTTAAGGTCAAATGCTTGAAAAACTGCATAAAAGCGTTTTTTTAATTTTTAAGATATCGAAAAATGACCTCTACAAAATTTGTTCAGAACAGAGTGGGCCACCCAATGCACCAAAAACCTTTGACCTTTAACCATATTTTGAAGGTCATTTCAAGGTCGAAGTGTTTTTTGTAATGGAAATCCCTCTTTTTAACCCCGGATACGCACATAGCGCGAAATCCGACGTTTGGATAAGGTATTGTGTTGAGTTTCGCGCTATGTGCGAATCCGGGGTCAAAAAGAGGGGTTTCCATTACAAAAAACACTTCGACCTTGAAATGACCTTCAAAATGAGGTTAAAGGTCAAAGGTTTTTGGTGCATTGGGTGGCCCACTCTATTCTGAACAAATTTTGTAGAGGTCATTTTTCGATATCTTAAAAATTAAAAAAACGCTTTTAGGCAGTTTTTCAAGCATTTGACCTTAAATCGACCTTCTCTAGGCCATGAAAAAAAATTTAAAAATACCGTTTTGGACGTAAAATTTCCCGCTCTTTCCGAATCCGGGGTCAAAAATGGGGGTTCCTATTTAAAAAAACAAAGTTGACCTTGAAATGACCTTGAACATGACCTCCAAGGTCAAATCCAAGGTCATAGAAACATGGCCCCCTCAAAGTTGAGTAACTTTTGTCTGAAACTTTTTTCGATAAAACTCACTCCAATCTAGATATCTGAGTGGATCACTTAAAATGGGCCACCCTGTATATATGGGACGATCCATGTCAACCGGATCACTGCTGTATCCAAAATTTGATGTGACCAAAAAAATCGTGCAACGACTCATTATCAATATCTTATTCAATGCGCACCGGTCGTCGCATCACCAGAGAGAGAGAGAGTGTAGAGAGAAAGAAAGAAAGAAGGTTTGACCTTTTTTTAATGCTCCTCGCAACGTCGAGAACCTCAAGCGAAGCGCTGCTGCAGGAAGTGCCGGTCGTCGCTACTGGTCAGATTGTTGCCAAACGATGCTGGCTATAGTTGCTGGCCAAAATCTGCAGGAGACGTCGGTCGTGGGCCCAATATCTGCAGGCGATATCGGTTCTCTTTGCAATCGGGGCTGGCTGTAATCGTGGATAAAGCTGTTCCCGGTAGAGTTGGCCTTCCTTCCAACTATCCCAAAAACCGCACTCTCTGCTCAAAGTAGACTGGATTCGTGCACGCATTTTTTCTCACGCTGACCGTCTCGCGGCTGCTCAACTGCGCTCGCTTCTATCCCTTCCTGACCTATTAGTTAGGCGGCACGCGATGCGCCGCTTATCGGTCAGGCGTCGCGCGCCTGTCTATCCCTGCATAGGCCTAATGCTCACTTTCTTTCTCTCACTTTCTCACTCTCTCCGCGCTCCTCAATTTTTCCTACGCAAACGAGAAGCCGGCGCACGGCCTGATCTCGTCACAGTAACAAAGGCTAAATTTCGCCGCTCTGCTGTTTAATGAGGTACTATTCGTGTGCCACGCATATATGCGTATTACTTGTATTTCGTTTCTTCAAAATTATTCAAAATATTTCATAAAAATTAAAGAATTACAATTAAATTAATGATTTGATTGGAATTAATTGATTTTGTAGTTAAATAAGTGTGCACTATATTTTTTTGGATTTTCATTTTGGATTTTCTAGAAATGATTTGATAGTGATTTCATAATTTCAATATGATTGGAAGTCAATTACTAAAATTTATGGTAATGATTTTTGGAAATGAATTTCCCGTTGAGTTTTGCAGCATCTTAGTTTAGTGAGTACAGCACGAGTACCACTACAACAAAGCAGTGATTACCTCGCAACTGATATCAGCTAACTGTGAAAAACTGTATAATTAATACAAACGAATATCCCCTTATGTTAATATTTAATTTTGTATTATTATTTAATTTTCAGAAACCTAATTTTTCACCAAATTTTTTTAACAAAGTTAAAAATTAATAAAAACATTAAATTTAAATATCTATGTGTAGAATTTTACTATATAATATGTTCGATACGGGCTAAATTGTGTTATATAATAAAATAAAATTAATAAAGATGACGATACTACAAATACAGAATTACGTATTTCACAAGTAGACTCAATGAATTTGTGTTATTTATTAAAAACATTATATATCTTTTCTATAATATATTGTTTTTAATTTATACATTTTAAGCTTTGATTTGTTATTCACAGATATTTTGCATTATCTTTGGGGAATAACAACTCGTAACAGTATATTACGATGCATATCATGTAAAAGCATCGTAAAACTCTGTGAACACTATACTTCATCTTTCGCATATACTTATATTATTTTCAAAACATTAGTAGCTTACATAGTATATTATTTTAGTATGTTATTAAGTTAATTTTATTTAAACTTCTTTTACCTATTAATAAGTATAAATACTAGTTCAAAATTAACATTAATTTTCTTATTTTATATAGTATACAAAGCCTGTAGATGGAGAGGATACGCTATCATCATCCAACATGAATTCACCTCAGCGTAATGGTTTGCCACAACTTCTACAAGCTACGCAGTTAGATAAAAATAAAAATGAAGCATTATCAAGCCCAACAACATTGACCGATCAGTCACGGTTAGCGCAAACTGATAAAATACGTAAAAAGAAAATGTCGGATGACGAAATATTAGAAAAGTTACGAACAATCGTCAGTATTGGAGATCCTAATCGTAAATATACAAAAATGGAAAAAATTGGTCAGGGAGCTTCAGGAACAGTATATACAGCTATCGAAAGTTCTACAGGAATGGAGGTAGCAATAAAACAAATGAACTTATCCCAACAGCCCAAAAAAGAATTGATAATAAATGAAATATTAGTTATGAGAGAAAATAAACATCCGAATGTTGTGAACTATCTGGATAGTTATTTGGTAGGAGAAGAACTGTGGGTTGTAATGGAATATTTACCTGGAGGTAGTTTAACAGACGTAGTAACAGAAACCTGTATGGATGAAGGCCAAATAGCAGCAGTATGTAGAGAAGTACTACAAGCATTAGAATTTTTACATTTCAACCAAGTAATTCACAGAGACATTAAGTCAGATAATATTCTTCTTGGCCTTGATGGAAGTGTAAAGTTAACTGACTTCGGATTTTGCGCTCAAATTTCTCCTGAACAAAACAAACGAACAACAATGGTAGGAACTCCTTATTGGATGGCACCAGAGGTAGTGACTCGGAAGCAATATGGCCCAAAGGTATGTAATCTTCGAATAAATTTGAAATACAATCTGTTGTTTTTAATATTGTAACAATAATCGAAGGAAATGTTTTGTAATTAGAAAAATTTTCGATTATATATGTTTAATAATTTTTTTAGTTTTTTCAATCACGGATCGCGGCTGATATGTAGGCATCAATCTAATTTATATTAGATCAGTACAAATTCAATATAAACATGGTGATAACTCTTGAGATAGGCTGCGGACATACAAACCTCCGAGCTTTTAATTAAGGCTAGCTACAGCGAGAGAGAAAGAGAGTGAGAGAAAAAGAAACTTATCATTAAAACTTGCTCCATTAATATAGCTGAAAAATGAAAAAATACACTTATAAACAAATTATATAATGAATAAAATATGGAAGCTGCATATTTTTAATTAAAAAAATTATACCGTACAGAAAACATTTTACGAAATAAAAAAACAATAGTTCCAAATAGTATACTAAGTAATGAAGTTCAGTTATATATGACGCTGCTCGGAGTATTATCAATCTTCCTTTTCTTAGATATAGTCTGTGGTGAATAATGGATACGCGATTAAATATATCCATGCATTAGATTTACATATGCACTCTAAAGTCTTTTACATCCGTTTTTTCAATTTATGTCTATTTTCATAAAATATATTTCTCATTGTATCGTAGTTAACTTTGATTTTTAGGATAAGATTTTTTGCTCTCCTTTCTTTGTTTCTACCAGTTTTGGAAAATAAAAGACAGGATTCCAAATCCCTGCCTTTATAATCATCACAAGCGTCACAGAACTTTTGATAATTAAAGCAGAAAGTAGAGATTGTGAACTTTTGATAATCAAGGGATTTAACTAAGTTTTTCTGGATGATTAATTAATTTAACTTGTTTATTTTACTGGAGTCCAATCCTATTAGTAAACAGAGAGAACCAAAAGTTCCGGAACGGCATAAAAACACGGAGGGACTACAGTAGTATAGCAATGTATGTTCCAGCACACCTGCGGGGGGGTCTGTAACCCTTTGGCCCCACCGGGCTTAACCCTTTAGTCCCCTTGGCTTAACCCTTTCATGTTATTAATAATTATTATTGTTAACAATTATTATTAACAATATTCGTGGGGGGTCCCTGGTTTAACCCTTTGATTCCCCGGCCTAACCCTTCCATGTTAATTATTATTAATGTTAATAATTGTTTATAATTTTTTGAGGAAGGTTTCTAGGGCTCCTAGTCTCTAGGGCTCCTAGTCCCTAGGGACCCTATACCTAGTGCTTTCAGCCTAATTAAATTTAAATATTTTTTTTTTAAAGTTATAAATATATATTATTGATAATTTACTTGCTACATTGAGAATGAAACGAATAGAAAATAGCGACGATTTTTTGAAAAAAATGAAGAGACAGACCGGAGAATCGAACCGGAGTCCTCTGGGTTGGCAGGCTAGCGTTCTACCACTAGAGTCAATGCCACATGTACCTTAGAGGATGCATATTGTGTATATTAGCTACACACGTATACATTTGGTATAGGGCCTGAGCGTGCGGAGGAGGAGGGGAGCGCATGCTGTCTATAGTTCTGGCCTGATGGGGATGCGCTACTATAGTAGTAAACGTATGCTCTCTCTTTCTTTCTCTCTCTCTTTCTTTCTCTCTCTCTCTCTCTCCTACGCTCTAACTCAGCGTGGACCATAGTGCGTGGAGGAGGAGGGGAGCGTATGCTGTCTATAGTCAATACGTGCTCTCTCCACGAAGGGAACTGCTTTCGTGAGAATGTTAGAGACTACGAATGCAGTCGCTCGACTGACACCTCCTTGAGATGTTCCTCCTAAACATCTCTGCTAGGAGAGAACCTTATTCCCATCCGTTCACCCTTTCTTACAATCGTTATGATTATTTTACTATTTAAATAAGCACACATTTATTATTTATTTAATATTTATTATTTTTAATTATACATTGAATAGGGTACACTTTGTCTATAATCTTTATGTTCAGTGTCTGACATAGCTATTTTTAAATATTCAGTTGAATTTTTATATGAATTATAGTCATCTGTAAATCTTTCGACTGTGTCGATCTCTTTTGATTTTGCTTGTTTTTGTCTTTCCATCATCCAATCGTGTATCTTTTGTATATTTACTGCAGCACATACTATATTCTCGCTATTTTGACTATGATATATGCATGATGGTTTAAATTTAAGACTTAAATCTTCCAATCGCGGACATCTCATTTCAGTTTCCATATCTAAAATATTTCTGCAATTAAAAAAAAAAATACTAATTAAATTCGAATTTAGAATTTTGTACTATTGTATATTATTTGAACCTACTTTTCAGGAATAATTTTTTTGAGCCATTGCTTCTTTTGTAATCCTTTCATATAAATATTTCTACAATTATGTAAATAACTACGAATAGTACAATTTAAAAAATTATATGATAAAATACCATTTCTCCATAATATACCTATAAAATTAATTATATTAAATATTTCAAATAAAATCAATGTTAATTAACGATAATAAAAATAAATACCATGATGATGTAATTCCAACCACTTATTAACACTTTGACATTCAATAGGCAGTTTGAGCCAATGGTATGGAGGTTTAAAAAGTAGTACTGTAGGTGAAGTATTAGAACATACTGGTAAATAGGCAAACTCCTTACAAATAAAAATATTATTAGGACTCTCAAAGCCTTGAATATCTAAAATATATTCCATCTTAGAGTATAAATCCCATTATTCTCTATGATATGTGAGCTGAATCGTATCTCAAAGCAATAATGACTATATTTTTATTCTGAAGATCTATATATAAACCCTTTAATACTAAATTAATAAGTTAGATGGTGCTACAGTCGATTCACCCCCACTCTTTCATTTGAGCTAACCCTTCCATATACTACCTACAACGCCCACACTTTGTAGGCAGCGCCCTCAGTTTGCTGGCAGCGCCCTCACTTAACCTTTAAAAACCGGTTTGACTTAGCAAAAGAGCGCAGTCTCTCGAGACAGCCTGCGAGCTAAGTTTGCCTTACCTTACGCCATTTGCAAGTAGTTCCTCAGTAGTTAGTTGAATCCTTATTGAATTGTTAAACAAATCAATATTAATTACCAACTGAGAACAAGTTCATTTTAGAGCTGTTCACTACCTTTTCCATCCTTTTATCATAAAAATCCTTTATACAACTATAGACAAGTGACTCTACAAGACAATAAAAACTAGATAACTAACAACATGACTTCTATCGCCTATTTTGAAGAAACAATTAAAAATTTATGGAAAGCTTATAGTCATTCGGACGATTTAGATATAGACGATTGTATTAGATGGAGAAATCTAACAGTTAATGCTATAATTTCAATTAATGAATTTATGAAACGATCTGATTTAAGTAGAGCAATTCGACAAAGGTGTCAAACTTGTGCTTGTCATTTGAATTCTATTGAAGTCAATTTAAGTAAAACTATAAAAGTTGGTGGAAGTATACAACCATTAACAGCTATTCAGGATGAAATTGTAGGAGATGGAGTTGTTTGGAGACCAATTCATTCAGCCTTTAAAAATCAAATTAGTACAGTCTGTATAGTTAATCAACATCATTTAGATATAAAAACATTTCTAGTTGCCGCAAATCAACTATTACAAATTAAAATACCTCAATTTCTTGCTATCCATAATAACTTAAAAATAAATACAGAAATGGCATCACAATTTATCATAAAGAAAAATCAAGAAGATATTCAAATCAAGTATTTCAATACAGAAAATGTTTGCATTTATAAGACTACTGATCTTGATAGATGGTTTCAAAATAACGTTAAAGATATTATACTTAAACAAATCGAAGAATTTCAAGAAAGAGACTCAGGCTGGTCGTTAAAAACTATTGTTGGTCTCACTATTAACCCATTAAGGCCCATGCCAAACCTGGGAAAGATAGCGCCAAACTAACTATGCCAATCGTAGCTAAATCGTAAAAAAAATACCCGTGTTTTTTCTTTTGCCATTTTCAATTGTTTATAAAAAATTATTCAAACAAATTATCAAAAAGTTATTATTTTCAAAAAACTGATAGCGGCAATCGATTCTACGGGAAAAAACATGAAAGAAATGTATATAACGTTTTTTTGTCAGACGTCAATTTGTTAGTGTAAAACGGCTATAAACAATTGCAAGTCTGTCAGGTACATGTGTATACGCCAAATCCCAAGCAAAATCTATTGCCGATAGCGCCAAACTAACTATGCCAATCGTAGCTAAATCGAAAAAAAAAATACCCCTGTTTTTTCTTTTGCCGTTTGCAATTGTTTATAAAAAATTATTTAAACAAATTATCAAAAAGGTATTATTTTTAAAAAACTGATAGCGGCAATCGATTCTACGGGAAAAAACATGAAAGAAATGTATATAACGTTTTTTTGTCAAATGTCAATTTGCTCCAAAAACAAATAACTGTAAAATAGCGATTTTCTATAATACATTCAAATTTCTATGAAGCTTCATCCATGTGGTCATTTTTGTGATCATTGCATACAACTTTAGAACATTGTTCACAGTACAGCTGAGTTCTTTTTTTACACGATGAAAGCTCACAATGTAGGTACTTACCTATTTTTATTTTGTGTTCGTTCGATGAACTATCACTATGTCTTTTTTGTCTGACAGGGCGGTCCCTTGAAAACTTATCGAGATAATATTGGCAAACTTCTTGCACAAGAACTTTCGTTCCCTTTGGTAATTCTGGATGAAGCTTATTATAGATGACGGTAGAATTTGTCAATGCTGCCTGAATAAGTCTCACAAAGAGACACCACATCCATTTCTTACTTTTAATTGTAGGCGTCAATGCATTGCAATGTTGATCATGCAGATCAACTCCACCCATGTATCGATTATACATTGAAAACGCTTGAGGGAAGAGAATTGACTTCTTAGATGACTCGTGCCATCTCTGTACTTCAACGTTTGGCTCATCACCATATTTCGTTGAAAGAAC